ACGGGTGTACCATAAGATTTGAAGGGTTTTAATAACATTTAATTCTACTTAGAGCTTTACAAACTAAAGCCAAAGACTGAGGAACGTTAAAAAGCTATTTTCCTGGGCATCTTTTTTCCTTACCCGTTATTTTTCTAGCTTCAAACATAGCCTAAGTATCTGCGGATGGTGAACAGTGAAATGTGCCAAAAAATGAGAGAACAAGAATCTAACCTTCATGTAAGGACAAGAAGCACATCCACCATGAATAGAACATCCCTCTCCAGTCGCAACTCCAGGTATAACAGGTGCCTTCATTAAGAAATCACCCACTTCACCTAGAGGGATGTCCTGAGATGAAACCTTTGGTGTTTTCATCACTGCTTCAGATGATACAGGAAAGACAATCTCAACACTAACTTTCGGCCCTCCATCTGTAGTGTTCACCGAGCCTAATATTTTACTGACTGATGCCACTATAGAAGTAATCATTCCTGATTCAGTTCCTAAAACAAATTGAAGATGTTCATGAACGTCTCTATCCATAGCCTCTTGTACTCTTTGTGTTATGAAATCCAATATATTCTTGGTTGAGCCAACTACTCCCATCCCTCTCTCTTTAGCGCCCATTGCTAGTGAAAACATTTCACTGGGAACTTCAAAATGGGCGGTCAGGAATGCATCACAATACATTTCGTTTATCTTCTCCACAACTTCATGACCAAAGAGATGATGCACAATACATGTTCCACCCTGGCACAGACAAAACATATAGGTGGGAAAGAGATCGACAACATATGCCTACTAACAATTAACTTTACGGTACAAAAGATCAAAGAATCTGTTATACAAGTTAGTTATCCCTCATCCTTCTCATATTTTTACATGTAAACTTTTGATATTCTTAGTGTTCTCCCGTGAAACTTTCCATACAACTAAAATAATATATGATGATAGTGGTCTTGAATTTCATCCTACTATTCCCTTGTAAGGAGGTTGTTCACAAGGACGCCTCGTGTAAAACTTTGTCATAATGTATTCCACATGGACTTACAGAGTTGACTGTTAGATCTGAGCTCAATTCTAAAAAAAAAAGCAGCAGGGTCCTATATATAACTCCCTCTGTCCTTGATTGATTTGCCGTCAACATTTTTTGGTCAACCAATGTTAAAACCAAATCAATTGAGGATGAATACATACTCTTTCCCAGGACCAAGTGAATTACGTATTATTTGACCAGCATCCCAAAATCTAAGTGCAACTGCACTTTGCATGCACATTTAAAAAAGGATATTTGGTGTGTTCCAATTTTACCCCTATCGGAATGGGTAAATATAAGGATGGCAATGGGGGCGGGGGGGGCGTGGGGAACCGCCCCGTGGGGGGAGTTGGGGCGGGTGGTGGGGGAATTATTTCCTCCCCGCTTAAATATGGGGCGGGTGATGGGTTATGCACCCCCCGCACCGTCCCCCGTATATATACACATACTAATAATTAATAATAATAATCACAATAATAATACTAATAATAAGGGTTTTCTACAAAAATATTACTAAAATAAAATTTATTTTACACAAATATGACTATTAGTTACTACAATGTAGTGTCATAGTAACCTAAGTTTAAAAATTGAACACGAGTTACTATAATTTGATTACTACTCCAGTCACTTGTCACATTTTTGTAAACAGACTTCATTTTAGTCATAAATATGTAATTACTAATACAAAGTAATTAAAATAACATGGTGGCCCGGTAGGTTTAGTTGTTTCCTATCTAATGGGTTGTGCCTAATGGGTCTATCTAATTCTTGTTTAACAACTCAGCTATCTTTTAAAATTTGTTATCAAAATCATATAAAGTAAAATGAATTTGGGAAAGTTATAAAGTGATATTAGCTTAAACGTCTCAGGCACAGTGTGAATGTTTTCTTCTTTTACTATTATAGTGCATTATTTCTTTTCTTATGAATGACATCTTTATGATTGTAGTTAGGGCTCTTAAAAATTTGGTGACCATAGGTCGTCTGTAAAATGACCATGGTTGATTGAATGAAGGGCTTAAGAAAATATTTTAGAGCTAATCGATGCTAATAAAGTGTTTCATAAAATGACTAAATCAAAATGTGTATAATGTGTTCGGGATTTGATATGGGATGTATGATTACATTGACACTTAAAAACTAAAAGGTTTTTTTGGCTACATACTAGAAGTGTTGTTTGATTTTTGAAAAACTGTCTGGGTCTAAAATAGTGTTAATTTTTTATGAATATTTCCCCCGTTGGGTACTCGTGGTCTAGCGGGTCAGGGTGGGGGATGGGGCGGGTGTGGAGGCAATTTTTTAGACACGGGGCGGGGGATGTGGGAGTGAACCCCCACCCCAACCCCGCCCCATTGCCATCCCTAGGTAAATATGACAACATGTGCAAATTGTTCAAAATGCCAAATCATAAAAACGTAAAAAAATAGAGTCAAAAGGGTAGAAAAAGGATAGTTTGAATAGTTGTAGGACTTGATTAAAAAATAATGTGGGATTTGTAAAGGGTACGGGGAGAGTAAAATATTACTTCCTTCGTCACATTTTGTAAGATGCACTTTTCTTTTTGGATTGTCCCAAAAATCATAAACATTTTCTTAAATTGGACTACATTAACTTTTTATTTTCCTACTTTATACTTTTATGAGTTTTATCTATCATTTCGCTCTTTACTTTTTGCGTATCCATTTTTCTCTTTCTTACTTTTTGGAGGTTAAAATTGTACAACAACCACTATATCCTTTATTTTCTTAAAACTCACACCGAACCCACATACATCTTACATTATGGGACGAAGGAGGTAGTATATTATAACAGTATCTTTTCCCATAAAAGTTATGGGAAAACTTTTTATCTTTTTATCTTTTCCCATAAAAAACTAAAAAGTTATATCAAAGGATATTTAGTAAAATATCAAGTTATAACTATATCTTTTCCCATAAAGATCCAAATAGACTCTTCTACTATTTCAAACATTTCACTTAAGCCCTATACTAAAAAAAGTATCATAGAAGCATGTTTATTTAAGAAAATAATAAATCCAGCCCTAAAATATCAGGTCCTTATTGAAAGAATAAATTAAGAAAATTGATAAAACTATTAAAGGTTCATATAATTTTTCAAAATATAGAAATGTACAACAATATCCAAGTCATAGTCTCAAAAGAGTTTGGAGTCAGCTCAAAGAATAGACATGAAATCGGAGTCAAGAATGATAAACAGAGAAAGAGGAGACAAACAAAAACAAATCAGTCCTCCACACACATAAAAAGGTGAATGGCTTTGGTTGTTAGCGACGTGGCATAAAACCAAATTGATCCTCCGAAATTTCTACACTCCTTTGGAGTCTTTGATCAATTACTCACTGTAGAAAAATGTAACATGTATTTGTTATTTTAATTTTATGTACATCCGGAACTGTATAGATAAGACTTAGAGTAGATAGAACTCTTTAACTAGTAGATAAGCTCGCAGAATAGATAGATCCTATTATTTAGGATCTGTAACAACTAGGCTTTATTTGTAACTTGTATATATATCATTGCCGGATTGCTCAGTAACATTCAAGGAAGATTAATTCTTCAAACCTACATGGTATCAGAGCCTCGGTTTAAACAACACAATGGTAGAAACCAGTGATGCTGATTCCTCACACACTATCAACCCTAACTCCCAAATTAGTCCTATGACAAATTACCAGTCTCCTATTCATTCATCTATGATAATCACTAGTCATAGATTGAATGGAACAAACTATCTAGAATGGTCTCAATCTGTCAGACTCGCAATTGATGGGAGGGGAAAGCTAGGTTACATCACAGGAGAAATCAAACCAAAACTACCTGCAGAAGAAGGTTACAGTACATGGAGGTCAGAGAATTCACTCATAACAGCTTGGCTTCTCAACTCCATGGAGCCCTTAATTGCCAAACCTCATATGTTTATGAAAACTGCAAAGGAGGTATGAGACTCTATTAAAGGAAACTTATTCAGATCTTGAGAACTCTTCTCAAATTTTTGAACTCAAAACCAAGTTGTGGCAATCTAAACAAGGAAATAGGGATATCATTTCATACTATAATGAAATGGTATCTCTGTGGCAAGAATTAGATCAATGTTATGGTGATGAAGAGTGGGAGAGTGCTAAGGATTTGGCCAGACATAAGAAAAGAGGAGAATGATAGGGTCTATATGTTTCTAGCAGGGATCAATAGGGACCTAGATGAAGTAAAAGGCAGAATACTGGGAAAGAAACCTCTGGCCCCAATCAGAGAGGTCTTTTCTGAGATCAGGTTGGAAGATAGCAGGAGGAGGGTCATGTACAACACTCCAGTACCTAATGAGGAACCTGGGGACTCTTCAACTTTAGTGGCCAGAAGTGATGACAAGAAAAAACCTTGGTGTGATCACTGCAAGAAATTGTGGCACACAAGGGAAACATGCTAGAAACTTCATGGAAAAAAACCAGGAGCTGGAAAGAAGAAAGTTGAAAGGGCCCTACAAACTACTATGACTGAGACTCAACAAGAGTCGGGAGTTGAATCTAAACAACTGTCTTTCACACAGGAACAAATAGAGTACCTACTCCAATTTATACCCACCCAGAAAATCTTCAATCAAGAAAACTCTTCCTGTTCTTTTGCCCAAAATGGTAAAATAACATCATTTTTTGTTCTGAAAAACCAAAAAGTACCTGGGTCATTGACTCAGGTGCAACAGACCACATGACCTACATTCCAAATCTCTTTTCTTCATATCAACCTTGTGCAGGAGATAAGAAAGTTAAGAGTTGCAGATGGCTCTTTTTCAGCCATAGCAGGGATGGGAAATATTAGAATTTCCTCATCCATTAACTTTTCTAAAGTCTTACATGTTCCAAAACTTTCCTGCAATCTTATCTCTATTAGCAAAATAACCAAAGACCTTCAGTGTTGTGTAAAGTTTTATCCTTCTTATTGCATTTTTCAGGATCTGGCATCGGGAAGGATGATTGGCAATGCTAGAGAGGAGGATGGCCTATATGTTTTTGATGAAGGAACACAATTGAATAAACAAGGTCAAGAAAAAACTTGTCAGCAAACTATTTCCTTTCCTTGTAATAATGAAGTGTATTTAATGCACTATAGATTAGGTCACTCAAGTTTTTCCTATCTAAACAGGTTGTTTCCTAAGTTATTTCATAATAAAAATCCTTCATCATTTCATTGTGATATGTGTGCACTTGCCAAACATCATAGGAGCTCTTATATCCCTCATAGTTACAAACCAACTAGTCCTTTTACTATTGTACTGGGGTGCATCTAGAGTTTCAACTTTGAAAGGAAAAATGTGGTTTGTAACTATCATAGATGATCACACACGGGTCACATGGGTTTTTTTGATTAAAGAAAAATCTGAGGTTGAAGATGTGTTCAAGAAATTTTACTCAATGGTTCAGACTCAATTCAATACTAATATCAAGATTGTGAGAAGTGATAATGGCCTTGAGTATTTTTCTAAGAATTTAAATAATTTTTTTGCTGAAAAAGGGATTATTCATCAAAGTTCCTGTATAAATACACCTGGTCAGAATGGAATAGCTGAGAGGAAAAATAGGCATTTGCTTGAAGTCACTCGTGCAATTATGTTTTCTGCTGGAGTTCCAAAATATTTATGGGGAGAAGCTATTTTACATGCTACCTATTTAATTAATAGGATGCCATCAAAGACTATGATTTAAAACTCCCATTGATACACTTCAAGCCAGTTTTCCTGAAACTAGGCTTATCAACTCTCTTCCCATAAAAATTTTTGGCTGCACAGTTTTTGTTACCAACCCTGACAAAACAGAACTGCAAGCAAATTTGATCCTAGAGGCAAAAAATGTGTTTTCTTAGGACTATCTTCAACACAGAAAGGCTATAAATGTTTTGACCCTACAACAAAAAAGATGTTTGTAACAATGAACACTGTTTTTGTTGAAAATCAACCTTTTTTTAGTACTCATCTTCAGGGGGAGATTCCTAATGAAGATGGTAATAATGTGTCACATATCCATGAAAAACTTGAATTTCTTGACATTAGTCTAGATGCACAATATAATAGACAGTTAGATGCACTAGAAAATAGTTAAGAATCAAAAGAAAATGAAATAAAATTTTCTGAGAGAGGGAAAGATGTTGAACAGCAGATAAGTAAATTTTTTGGCAAGGTTTATGAAAGGAGAGTTCCAAATCAAAGAATAGAGGACATCTCTGATCCTGCCACTGCTCATGAATCTGACTCAATGTCAGAAAATGACAAAGGTAATAATTCCAGTGATCTAAATCTACCCATTGCTCTCAGAAAAGAAAAAAGATCATGTGTTAAATACCCTATCTCAAACTATGTGTCTTATTCTCAGTTATCTGCATCATTTGCAGCCTTTACCTCTAGCCTTTCCACTGTTTCTATTCCCTTAACCATACAGGAAGCTCTATCTAAACCTGAGTGGAAGAAGGCTGTTTTAGAGGAAATGAATGCTCTTGAAAAGAATCAGACATGGCAGGTTGTGGAATTACCCAAGAACAAACCAACAGTGGGATGCAAATGGGTATTTACCCCTAAATTCAAGGCAGATGGTACACTTGAAAGATATAAGGCTAGATTGGTTGTCAAAGGATATACACAAACCTATGGCATTGATTATAGAGAAACTTTTGCTCCAGTTGCAAAATTAAATACTATAAGGATCCTTCTATCTCTAGCTGCTAACCTAGACTGGCCTCTTCAACAGTTAGATATGAAGAATGCTTTCTTAAATGGGAAGCTTGAAGAGGAAGTGTACATGAGTCCCCCTCCTGGGTTTGAGGGACAATATGGCTCAAAGGTGTGCAAGCTGGAGAAAGCCTTATATGGACTTAAACAGTCCCCAAGGGCTTGGTTTGACAGGTTTACTCAATTCATAAAGAGGCAAGGATTCAAGCAAGCCCAAACAGATCATACACTATTCATGAAGTTCTCAAGTAAGGGAGAGATTGCAGTGTTAATTGTTTATGTGGACGATATCATTCTTACAGGAGACTATTATAAAGAAATTGAAGACCTGAAGAAGAAGCTGGCTCAGGAATTTGAGATCAAAGACCTGGGAGAATTGAAGTACTTTCTTGGCATGGAGATAGCCAGATCAAAGAAGGGAATTGTGGTATCTCAGAGGAAGTATGTACTAGACCTTCTCCATGAAACAGGTATGAGTGCTTGCAGACCAATAGATACTCCAATTGATCCTAATCAAAAGTTAGGAGATGTCAAAGAAGGAGTATCGGTTAATGTTCAGCAATATCAAAGATTGGTGGGAAGATTGATTTATCTGGCACATACAAGGCCAGATATTGCCTTTGCAGTTTGTATGGTTAGCCAATTCATGCATAATCCATTCCAGGAACATCTAGATGCTACCTACAGAATCCTAAGGTATTTGAAAAGTTGTATAGGGAAAGGATTATTTTTAAAAAAATGTGACAATAGAAGTGTGGAAGCCTTTACAGATGCAGATTATGCTGGCTCAATAACTGATAGAAGGTCTACATCTGGGTATTGTACCTATGTATGGGGGAATCTAATGACTTGGAGGAGTAAGAAGCAGAATGTGGTTGCTAGAAGTAGTGCAGAATCTGAATTCAGATCTATGGCTAATGGAATCTGTGAACTACTTTGGATCAAGAGAGTGATTTCAGAGTTGAAGATGAAATTGGAACTACCTATGGAGTTATATTGTGATAATAAGGCAGCCATTAATATTGCTCACAACCCTGTGCTACATGATCGTACTAAACATATTGAAGTGGATAGACATTTTATCAAAGAGAAGATTGAAGCTGGAATTGTGTGTACACCATTCATATCTACCAAAGAACAAACACCTGATATCTTTACAAAAGGGCTGTTCAAACCAGTATTTGAACTACTTATAAGCAAGTTGGGAATGTATGATATATACTTACCAACTTGAGGGGGAGTGTAGAAAAATGTAACATGTATTTGTTATTTTAATTTTATGTACATCCGGAACTGTATAGATAAGACTTAGTAGATAGAACTCTTTAACTAGTAGATAAGCTCGCAGAATAGATAGATCCTATTATTTAGGATCTGTAACAACTAGGCTTTATCTGTAACTTGTATATATATCATTGCCGGATGGCTCAATAACATTCAACGAAGATTAATTCTTCAAACCTACACTCACCAATACAGCCAGAAAAGTAATTTCAACCTTAATTTTTCTTATTATTACACAATTCCGCACGCGAAATCAAAAGTTACGTGTTTGCTGAAAAAACTCGCTAATAAGCCTGACATCCAACTCATTGTTCACTTTCTCTCTTACTTCCTTTGCAGTTTTCTTTCGTTTTCTTTTACCCTCCTTGTACTCTTCTATATTCTCATTGCTCCAACTTTTACCCAATTTTTTGTAACGTTCCTTTGCATTCCTTATGGATTGTTTCGCCATATCATTCCACCATGATGTGTCATTTTGGTGGCATACATTCTTTAAATTCTCCAAGTATCTCTTTGACCACTTTATTAATGGTCAACTCCATTGATAACCACAGGTGCACTAGAGATCTCCCTCGAGCCTCCACCACTTTATCTTTGACACCGCTTGTTGTTTAACCCACTTTTTATGTGTCTTACCTTGAAAAGCAGGCGCAAACATCATATGTTGCGTGACAATACCCTCACCTAGGATAACTTTGCAATCAATGTAGTTAGTTCTTCAAGTAGTCTGTACTAAGTAGTCAATTTTGGTACTATTAGCTCCATTTCTATAAGTTACCTCATGAGAGTTTGTTTTCTTGAACCAAGCGTTCATTATAACCAACTCATATGTCGAGGCGAAATCTAAAATGTTCTTTCATGTTTCATTTCAGTGCCAAAACCATGTCCAACATGGATACTATCAAAACCATCAAGACTTGAGCTCACATGCCCATTGAGGTCGGCTCATATGACCAGCTTCTCTCCCCTTGGCACTCGTCGCTCCATTTCTTCAAGATCTCAAAATTGTTGAGTCATACATGCATCCAATCCTACTTATGGTGCATAGCATATTGTCTACCATAAATAAGTGATTAAAATTATCGGAAATGTCTAAATTGCCCACTCTTCATCTTCCATCGCAGCATCACTTCGTCCCTGCATTAGTTCATTTTCTTTGCACAATCTGTCTGCATGTTCTATGTCCTCATCTTGATCGCATCAGATCCAACTTTGTCGCCTGAAAAACTAATGCCAAGAGATAGGCGTCGCCATTAAATGCATCATAGACGTCGACTGATTATGAGAGAAAGTTGTCAACATTCTTCTTTGTCACTGTTGTTCTTCATCCCTCTTCGTCGTTGGATTTCCTTGGTCGTCATCTTTAGTTTATCTGAGTTTCGCTCCCTACAGATCGGCGATGGCGGTGTTGCGCGGTTCGGCTGTCGAATCTGACATCTATGGTTTCAAATTGAGCGGTGCGGATATGATTTAAAGGTAGCGGTTAGGGTTTACAGGGGCAGGGGTTATGACAAGGCTTGGGCTAGGGGAGGGGTTAGGATGGTCGGGGGCAAGTGTGGTGGGAGGATGCGATGATTGCAGGGGGTAGTGGTGTGCGAGAGATGGGGGCTGGGGAGGGGTGTGGGGTGGGGAGGCGGAGGAGGGTCCAGGTAACGGTGGTGCGTTAGTGGCAGCATCACTGACATCAGTAGTTGTGGTGGTCACTGGCGCTAGCGGGGTTACTCGCGGTGGCGGTGGTCACTGGATTGCAGTGGGGGTGCTCACTAGAAGGCCGGGCCACAAGCGGTGGTCATTTGGCCGACCAGCACTGGTCACTGAGACCGGCGAGCAATAGTCACTATGGCGTTACTACGGCTGGTCACTAGACGAGCGAGAAGGTGGTCACTGTGGCTGGACGACCGGCAGTGGTCCCGGCGTCTTTGGTCACTACGGTCTACGGGATGGAGTCACTTTGATGTTTGTCACTGCCTCACTGGGTGAGGTGGATAACAATAGTAAGAAGGGTGTAATGGTCTTTTCGTTCCTTATTAGTCTCAAATTTGTCTATTAGTTAACTTTTAGTAATATTCTCGTCCTAACCTTGTCTAACATATAATGTAAAATATGAAAATTGTAAAACGTCAAAATTGAGGTATAATCCAAAAACAAAACAAAAAAAAAACAACAGAAATATATACATTCAAATGTAAAAAATAATGATGTAAAAAAATAGAATTTTAGTAATTGAGTATATACAAATAATTCTGAAAAAAGTAGATTTTGAAATTTTTAATTTTGTTAAACGTTTTTTTTTCAATTTTAACAGTTTTCTTAGATTTTTCAAAAAAAATTGATATAGCAGTTCAAAACCGGAAAAATGGTTGGATCGGTTTTTCTTTCAAAGTAAGCGTAATTATATAGTTTTAGTTATGCGTTTGAAATTGTAGACGAGTCCATTTGGACCTTTATCGTTCAGCAATTTTAGTTTTAGTTATTAGCTTATAGAGGACGCTTCATGTGCTACATTGACCAGCAATTTATAGCAAGACATTCGGTAAATTATATGTTTCAAGTTAGTTGAGAAAATGTAAAATGATGAAAAACGAAATGCAAATACTAATTAATATGTTTAACTACTCTTATTATGAAGCAGCAGTCAATCTATTCAATTTTTGACACGATTATCATCATAGGTCACGGGAAACAGTCCATTTGTGCTTTAGTACAGGGGTAAGGCTGCATACATCCGACCCCCATACCCCACCGCAGGGCCTTTGCGGAACTGGGGTAATGTTGTTGTTTAACTACTCTTGAATTATTATTTGTGAGATAGATTTCAAAATTTTCATTTTTTTGTTATTATTATTATCTTAACTTTTTCGTTCTTAATACTGTTATATAGACTTGAAGACATAAAAAATTAAAAGGCCGGTATGAAAACGCTATTCAAAGCAGCTTTTCATTGTGGCTGATTGACATAAAAAAGTGAACTAAAAATCGTTTACTAAAGTAACTAAACACTAATGGCCTGCTCAACAAACACGCTCCGCCTCCATCATCAATTATTAATACCTGATAATAATGCAAACGAGGTATCAATGATTTGATAGACTTTTGGCTATGTTGTGGATGTATCTCAGCAATTTCAAGATCAGTCATCATGGTCATTTGCTGAAACAGCTCCACGATATTAGCACCCATGTAAGAATCAGGGCCATACCACACATTTAAATTTGGTACTTCAGCGAATGCCTGCACATGAAAGCTTGGCCAAGTCAAATGAAAGTACAAATAAGGCCACATTAAGCAGCGCTTTTTAAAAGTGATGAGTGATCTACAATGAAATATAAAAGAGATAGATATAATTATAAGATTTTGGGTTAAACTGGCTAATTGATTCGACTCGATCTTTTAGTTTGGTTTGACTTGAGTGCTGTGTGACCCAGTTTGTGGACCGCCCAACTCAATCTTGAATTCTATCACAAAGCCATTTTAAAAAACGACGAAGAGAAATAAATGAATGGAAAACAATCTAACCTGCAGAATAGTTTGGACAACATTAGAGGAAGTGCATGTTATAGTCGGCACAAGCTCATGAGAATATGCTTTGGTCTCCAGAGAGGTATTAATGTAAACGACATGTAAAGAAGGAGAAGAGAGAGAGGCCATGGCAAGGTAATCTGCATATGCAGAGCTGGCTGCAGCATCTGCCAAAGAACAACCAATGCGTTCATCAGACATCCTATAGACACCAACCTGCACAGCAAATCTGTCATTGTATGAATACATGTGAAAAGTGTGAAATCACCTATGAAAACCTATGGATTGATAACGTTTAGTAAAAGTATTTAGGGAAACTTAGTTGGGTG